CTCCCCCCCCAGCGAAGCCAAGGCTGGCGTGCCCAGGGGCCAGGCGGTCCCCCCGCCCGGGCACCGCAGCGGGGGGCTGTCTCCAGGGCACGGCGCTCTGCGAGCCTCCCGCCCGGGGCGAGGGGAGCGTTCTGGGCTGCGCTGCAGTACGGGCCCCGCTCTGCGCTCCCGAGGAGCAGCTGCTGGAGCGCAGCTCATCGCGGGGCTTTGTCTCTCCTCTCTCCCTCTGCGTACGAGCTGGACATTCGCTCAGCCCCGCATTAGAACGTGAAGGTTTGAGGTAGACCTGGTAAGGTCATTGCGTCCATTCCGTGGCGCGACTGCGGCAGAAGTGTTGAGGCGCGTGTTTAAGGATTTGCCTGCCACGTCTGCCCGATGGGTGTGGAGCCTCGTGCATCCTGCGTGATGGAGCATCCCCAACTTTCGGTGACACCTTGCGCAGTCGTTCTGCTGTTCTTTCCTGCCGTTTATTCTGGGCATTGTTTGCTTCGCTGAATTGCAGTTACTGTTTGTTTCTCCATCGGTGCTTTATCATGTTACTGTTTCTCTACGCTTCGCGTAACTTTTTTCTCTTGCAGCTGAAGACTGATTGCACCGTATCGTCTCAGCTGTGGTAGAATGAGAGGTCTGGGGAGGGGAGGTGGCACCTGCGAGACCATTGATCCCGTCTGTATAACTTTGCCCTTTCAGCCAGGAACAGATTATTTGCACAGTGGTTCGAGATTGCACTAGGCAGAATCGGAAGGACCAAACTTTACATAAACCATTTATACTAAACGTTGGGAATGCTGGCAACATAAATCAACTACAATATCTATTACAAATTTATCACTTGATCGGTATTATCTTGGATAGAAGTGGTCCAGACACGTGGGGAAGTGAACCGTACCCCAGGAAGTTTAGCCCTCTCCTAAATTAATTATTCAGGACACACAGAGCCTGGCCCCTTCAATGTATAGTAATTCTTTCTAGCCAGCGTCCAGGACTTTAACTTCAGTGGCAATAATAAATAGGAAAAGTCTCAGGTGAAGCCAGTATTTCAGAGTAATTAATCATCTTCCCCTCATGGTCCCTCCGCCTCTCTCTTGGTTTTCTTTAACGAGGGAATTTCAGTAATAAATCTTTAATGATATATGTTAAGAATCCTTCATTAATTCTTGTCTGCTTATGTCTCTTTTTTTTGATGCTTTTATGTTGTATGTTGGGAAGTTAAAATGCATATACAAGAAAAAACGGTTGTGGAAAGCTGGCTGTTTGGCCCAGTCTCCGCAGGTGGTTTCGTGGGCGCGGGAGGCTGTGCGGTACACTTGCTACTGGGAGTTGTCGGCTCAGTCCGGCTGGGCCGTCAGACGAATACTTACGTACAATTACAGGAGGTGAAGAAAACGTGCCTGGTCTGCCCCTGGCTCGGAGGTGGACGAGCGCTAGTTCTCAGCTCCGTGGGCCGTGGCTGTGGCGTGTCGCAGGGGCTCGGGGGCTGCGTTGGCCCGGGCGGGGAGCGCAGCTGCCGCCGCCTTCGGGCGCTGCGGCGCAGCGCAGGGCATGCATCTTTAAATCATCCTCGTCCGGCGCGAGCAGCCATCACGCCTATTCGATGTGACAGGGACAGATGTGACAGATCGGTTCTGACACACTTCCATACCACAAGCGCGTGGCTGGAGGTGACTGGTGTCCTTCCCGGTCCCGTCCCCGCTGCAGGACAGCACAACGACGCACGGATGAACCTCGCCATCGCCCTCACCGCTGCCCGCTACGGCGCTGCCACGGCCAATTACGCGGAAGTGCTGTGCCTGCTCAAGACGGGGCGGGGGGCTCTGCTGTTGGTGAGTATCAATGAACCGGCAAAGGAGCCATCTTCCCCGCGTGCAGCGGCATGCCATTAGTGTCAATCACCTAGCCTAACTTCTGTCAGGTTTTCCGCTCGAATCCTCGTGTTTTGGCAGGGTAGGCTAAGCTTTACATCCAAACCCTTCTGTCAAGCAAAGATGACGCTGTGAAATGCTGCGTGCTGTACAGTAATAATCCCACTTACCACGTCCACGGGTTGAGACTGAAATCTCTCCTCTTCAAGGGGCAGGTTTCAGCTGAACTTTTTCCACCCGCCCTACCTTCTTCTGCCTTTACAGATAAGACAGGATTGCTGTAAATCATTTTCCTTAAAATCTGGTGTTACGTGAAAACTTTGTTAATTTTTTAAAACCGTTCCAGCAGTTCTGTTCAGACAAGCACGATACACTTTACAGTAGGTGAAGTTCATAGGCAGATTAATAATAGCGAGTGTCAGTGAGCCGGAAAACAAATGGGGTGTGTGATTGATACTGTTTTCTCTCACAGGGCAGGAATTTGATGTCAAAGCCAAATGCGTTATCAATGCTACGGGACCTTTCACAGACTCTGTGCGCAAAATGGATGATCAGGAAGTCCCAAACATCTGTCAGCCAAGTGCGGGCGTGCATATTGTGATGCCTGGTTATTACAGGTAACGATATTCAAAGCCTGAACCATTTGTAACAATCTCTGCCGGTGCCTGTAATAAAGAAGCTTGCAGAGACACATCTGTGGGTTTTACGGTAGTTCTGAATGCACGATTTGATTTTCATTTTGGTTTTTTTTTAAAGAGGATTTTGGCACTGTGCCGATTAGAGTAACAATTTCATATACTCGGATAAGATTGAAGTCTTGTAGTTCTTAGTTAAAATCACCAGGGCAGAAGGGTGTTTAGGCAGACCATCCACAACAGACTTGTGAAAGGCACTTTTTTTTAAATCATGAGTTTGAGTTGAGTGTGCTGACCACTTGTTCTCCTCCCTAAAGAAGACGAGTTGCATATAAAACCTTTCGGAGAGGCTGCCACCTCTTGTCCTATTGAATATCAAACTCTGTGCAGTGCCGCTCTGCCACTGCAGCCTGCCGCCGTACTCCCCCGCCACGTTACGACTCCGCTCGTGGTAGACACGGATGCAGCATGTAGGCAATATAGCAAGTAGTCCAAAATAACACAATTAAATTCTGACACCGCTGTGGACACAAGCCCACCCGCCCGTAGTTGTCTTGGTGGAGAGGACTTGCCTCCCTCTGCTGACCTTGTTACGGAAGGGGTTCCTGTGGCATGCGGCGAGCGCGCTCTCTGCAGACGCCTGCTTCTTTCCTTATTTGCTGCTGCAAAACCAAATTCCCTTCTAACAAGAAAGGCTTGTCAGTTGAAGCTCAAATATTACCTTGGCTTCTGAAGTCATTAGCATCCTAATGGAAATTCACATTTATAGACTTATCCCAATTCTGTTGATACAGTGCACTTACAATAATGCCTTCCATACCATCATTGCACTCCTCTGTGAATATAAATTTAGACTTCCAGTGCACATCATGGTTGTTTTTGCCGGAGCTGCCCCAATAGCACATGACCAGAGACTGTAAAATTGAGACATTTTTGGCCTAGAGTAAGATCACTCTTGCGTTCGGTTCTTTTTTTTGGTGGGGGAGGGGAGGTATCCCGCATGAAAAATGGGAAAAGGACCTGGTGGCTGCTTGCAGTCACTAGCACTGTGGAGAAATGGGTTGCAGTCTTAGTTTCCTTGTATACTATGAGCAGTGCCTGTGCAGTTGACTTTATGGACCTACAGCAAAAACGTGTAAAGTTTTAAAACTTTGAATCGCTTTGTAAAGTCAAAGTAGAAGGTGGCTTGATATACACAAGGGCTCTAATTTATTTACTGTGTAATAACCTAATAATTTTAATTGGAAATGTAGAGAATTCTTGTTCTGCGTGTTCCCCTGCGTATGTCAGCATGTGGGCATTGCTTTTCTTGTAAAATAGTGTCTGCCCACGTGCTGCCTCCACAGTGCAGCTGATTAGATAAAACTGTGCTGAACTTCCTTCAAGTGGGATGGCTTAAACCAGGGAGCTGTCTGCTAAATAGCAAATACTTGTGGTATTTAATCGTAGTTGCATCAACTCTTCTCCTGGTGCCAAGGAATACTCCTCAGCAAACGGAGACTGTCATTTCACTGTGTCCATTTGCCTTCTGGTAAATGTTCTACAGAATTTTGGCCCAGGCTCACACAAATGATTTTTTTTTTAACAGGTAGATGTTTTCAGATACAAACATAGTTAAGATTTCGTAAAAGTAACGTTAACCTAATGCATTCATTTCCCATGGGTTTCTTACTCATTTATGTTCTTCATTAATAGTCCCTGTATTCCTCCTCTCATTAGATCTATTTTTAGTATACACATATCTGTTCTGGTAGCTGCAGTAAGCCTCTCGCTCCCTGTTGTTAAAGTATGTTATTAGCTGAAAGGAGAGGGGATTTTGGCTACCTCTGTTCAGGTCGGCTTTCTGCCTTAGGTGTGTCCATGAATGCAGTATTGTTTTTTCCCCTTCCTTCTGACAAATTTCAGATATTTTCCGTCTTTCTTGAATTATCCTAGCTGCTCTGCATTCCAGATTCCAGGTAAACTTGTCTGTTAAACCTGAGTTCTACTCTGTGGAAAGTCACGTATTTGCTCTTTAACTGCATTTGTGGTGCTTTGGTCCAGTGCTGCTTCAGCCAGAGATCTTCCACATATCTGTTCTGCTCTGCAAAATGCCGTATTTGATGTCCGGGAGTGAACCACTTACCGACTTCAAGCTCCAGAGTTCTGAGCTGTCCTTCAGTTCAGTCATCCTGTCTAGTCTAGCAGTCTACAGCTGCTGGCATTCTACGTGTGCTTCAGTAGTCGCTGCGCACGATTCTTTCCTCACTCGTCACGCGTGCGACACACGTACTCCAGTCTAACTGAGCTGCTTCTTGGAGAAGGCGGCTTTCTACAGAGTAGCCGTGCTCCAGACACAGGCAGTAGTATTAGGTCAACTCTTAATTACCAAACGATTGCTTTACCTTAGGCCAGGTATCTTGATGTTTGTTTTGCCGGCAGAGCCACTTCAGGTCCGTCTCAGTTGCCCTCCAAGACCGCTTGCCGCTCCGTTTCTCTGTAAAGGCGTTGCTTTATACTTCGTACGAGGGTTTGCAATCCTGAACTGACCCGTGACCCGTTGAGTAGCCTGCAAAGGTTACCAGAGAGATCTTACAACGGCTGATGTCGCTGTAGCTCATACCACATTCTCCATCCACTCTGTGATCGTAAGAATTGCTGCCTTATAAAAACAGGGTTTCAGAAGTATTCCTGGTGTGCAGCGGCACGACTCCAGAGGCGGTCCAGAACAGCCAATACTTGGGTGTTAGGATGCTTCTTGTTGATGGGAAATGCCTTATTTTAATTTTTTTTTCGTGTCTCTTCAGTTATTCAGATAAGATGGAACAAACATAGCAACAGGAGATTGAGCCAGGATAGCTGGTAGTCATTAGTTCGGTAAATTAATTGGCATATGGAAAACTGTCTCATCCTTTCTCATCATTTGCTGTGTAATCTGGCTGAAAACACTTCAGTCCATAGGTGGTGTAGTGAAACGTAGTTTTAAGTCTTTACTTGTTTCACTTTCTTATTTTTAACAGTTTTTACAAAATTGTGTTAAAAAAAATTCGTACTTTTGAGAAAATATCTAAAGTCTTCTGAATATTCTGACACCGTGTATTAAATTTCTGGTTTCCTCTGTCTCTAAATCAATAGCTTTTTCATTTTAAAAAGTAATCATGTGTCTGACGTGGTTTACCTTGCACAAATCTGTGTTGACTTCCCCTATTAAATTGTACTTCTCCAACTGTATGCTTAAGCTGTCTATAAATATCATCTAAAAATGTTCTAATATACATGCTGTATATGAAATTTTCAGCTTCTCTTCTAGCCTTTCCAGATATTGAAAACTTACCTTCAGTAATCAGTTTAGACTACCTAAAAATGAAAATATTCAGTGATTCAGCTGGCGGCTCTCTTAAATAGGTGATTCATTTCCAAGCAGGTCTTTGTCTGCCGGCAGTTTACGGTGCTCGCAGCGATGGAGTCCACTGAGTTAATCCCCGCTGACGGTCCGGTCCGCGTGCCACCTACATACGTGCTGCCTGTCCTCCTGCCCGGTACCTCCGGGCTCCTCCTGCCGCCGGCCCCAAGGCTGCGGCCTGGCTGCAGGTGTGTTTACAAGGACCTCCAGCACCTGAAGTGAAAGTCAGCATCTTTCCTTTCAATAAAAATAAACAAAAAAAAGGGGCAGCTGGAATGTTTCTCTATATGAAAGCTGTTTACTTTGAAGTGCTTATAGAAGCCTTTTGTTTTCTGAAATATAAGCATAGCTATTTCATAAGTGATGGGGATAACTGATTTTTTGGCTTTTTAAGTTTTATTTTTTTTTACATTATACCAGAAAACGTTGGTACATAAATTAAAATTTCCTGTACGAAGAACTACTGTTTTTCTTCATGTTACTGAATCATTCTGTTTGTAGCACTGGCATAAATACATGAAAAATCTCTGAATATTAGCATCCAGTTAGTGTCCGTTAGCCATTACGGAGGTGATATCTGCCTTTTTTCCCTCGAGACACGGTTCCCCATTCAGGAGTGCTGTCGTGAGAGCGTTTGGAATACGCCGCTTGGTCCGGATCCCGCGGGAGCCTGGGCGTTCGTTCCCGCTCGCGTGGCGGGCGGTCAGCAGGCTGAGGCTGCGGCAGCGCTGGAGGCTTGCTGCGTGAGTGCCCTCCCAGCGCTCACCGCTTCAGGGGGGCTCGGCTCTCCTTGCCTCTGCTCTGCCTTTCGCTTACTACCCCGCACCCCCCTGCCCCCCTTACTGCCAGTGCGGGTTGTGGAAGTCACTGGGATTTTGTTGTCTTTACTTCTGCCCTCTGTTTAGGGAGCAGATAATTGATAACTTGGCTTAATAATGTCTCATCCAAAGTTTTCCTTGTTATATATGTAGATGCATCGAAACAGAACTGGAGTTCCCTTCTTACTTCTTCCATTTTAGCAGGCATTCTGTTTCAGCCTTCCCTTTCCTTTATGGCATGATACAAATTATTGTTCATTTTTGACTGAAAGCAGTTGTTCATTCCACAAGGACTTTCAAGTAATTGCTGTTTTAAAATTTGCAAATGTTTGTATCTGAAATTCCAATGAGCAAGATTTTCAAGAGTGAATGGAGACGTGAGATGCTAGAGGCCTGACTGCTCGATTTGAGGCTGTGGTCTGCTGACTTGCTTAAGAAATCAAGTTCTGGTAGTATCTGGGCATCACATCCAAGGGCCTTCTTTCTCAAAACTTCTGGGACTACCTTTTGAAGTCAGGCCACGGCCTCAGGTGAAAGCTCTGACAGTTCTTCGTTTTGTCGTTTAAGCTACGAACAAAGGTAGTGTGCTAATACTTCGTCTGGGGTACAAGGGGTGCAAGAACAGAATCCCTGGCGATGCCTGACCTGTTTTGAGTCGTGTCCCTTCTTTGTTTCAGCCCTGATAATATGGGTCTGCTTGATCCAGCCACCAGCGACGGAAGAGTGATTTTCTTCCTGCCCTGGGAGAAGATGACTATTGCGGGGACCACAGACAGCCCGACTGATGTTACTTCCCACCCGATACCGACAGAAGAAGATATAAACTTCATTTTGAATGAAGTGCGCAACTACCTGAGCGTTGATGTTGAAGGTAAACCTTTGTCAGCTCTGCTTTTGCCTGGGAAGGTGCTGCTGAGTTTGTGGCACGTCAGTTTGAGTAAGTGCTGCCGGGGTGAAGTTTCCCTGTGGCTCCAGTAGCTGTGGTTCCTGTGCATCTGGGTGTTTGTAAAGCTAGCGGGACAGGAGTGCGGTCGTGCTGTGTGTTTCAGAGCTGTGAAGCGATGCCTTTCCAGATACACCCACACGACTTGGACTGTTTGAATGCAAAGCAGTTGACAGTTCAGACCTCACACTCCTTTCGTCTAACTGGTGCTAGCTGTCCAGCTGCACAGCAAGTCGTTCGGGCCCCTCCGAGCCACGGGGGCAAGGGTTCTCGGAACGGGGACAGTTGGGTCGTACGTCAGCACATCAAATAATTCACCTGTTTTTTCTTGAAGGAAGAGTTCTTCTGACTTTTCCCGTGTCTTTGTTTTTATTTCCATTTTTCTAGGCACTTTATTCTTAGATTTTACGTTTCTTGATATGGTAGATAGCTAATAGTGTCAGCTTTCCGTGGGAGAGGAAAGCAGAGTGGGCAAAAAGGAGAATTTAGAACGATTACATGGTGACAGTTGTCCCCTGCAGTAGCTGAGCGGGGAACACGTTTGCTGTGAGATGCTGGCCTGCTGTGACTCAGTGCTGGTTTCAAGGAGAGAGGCTGCTTTCCTTCGTAGTGAGGTTTTTTTATACACTATTCTGTGAAAGCATTTGTACTTCTGTATTCCTGTGGTAGTAGCAGAGTTAAAACAAATCTGAAAAGCACTCGGTCAGGCACATTGCAACATACTTAGATTTAGGAAAACTTGCTGTGCAGAGATTGGAAGTGCTAGATGGCTTGTTTCCTGAAGTGGGTAATTGATGGCTCTGTATTGTTTAAAGTTCAGAAAAAGTCTCGAGGAAAGGTACCTTGAAGTTCCTTGAGCAGAAGTCGGTAGGTAAGGAAGTGCGGTGGGCAGACAGGTAGCTAGTTAAGGCTGTAAGAGAGAGATTTTGCGAGGTATTTTACAGAAGTGCATTATGAAGTGTTTAATTCTTTTGAATGAAACCCACCTAGGTGCCCGCTGTTTTTCACACATGCAATTAGCAGTGTTTATAGATGGCTTGTTATTGAATGAACAGCTGTGCTGGCCGTATCAACTCGCTGCAGACCTGCCTTTTTGCTGCCAGAGACAGTGCCAGGGTTATCAACTTACACAGGCTTGGATGTGTTCCAACTGTTTAATTATAGTGTCATGCATGCTGCTTTTTCTAGTTTCATTAGTTTATAAACGTAATATGGTATCTTATTTCTGTGATTAACACTTCATTTTGGCAGGTTAAACATGCTGGCAGAGCACCATTGATTTCTGAAGTCTATTCTGTGTTCTTTGGGGATATTTTTACACCCTGTTACTGATTTTCAATTATCATTTATTTGAAAGTTGTATTAAAAAAATGTTGCAAAGACTTTGACATAAAGCAGATTGGTCAATTTTTCTATTGCAAATTTAATAAGCAACAAAATTAATTTCATTAAATTCCCTATTCGTCCCATGTTTTATACATTAAAAAAGGACTCTTGGAGGCAGGGGTATTCTGTGACTGCTTGATGGCCTCAGGTTTTCTTCCTCCAAGCTTACTGAGAAGTCAGGGTTGGCTTTAGGGACAGACTGGTGACTGGACAGGGAGCAGAGGAGCAGCCAGGGGAAGAAGGCAGTAAACGGCCGTTGAGTCGGGCGGCTGGGGGCGTGGGACAGCGCTTCTGAAGCGGTGGCGAGGAGGAGGAAGGGAAGGCCGGGCTGGAAGAGGCGGCTGTGTAGGAGATGTGGACTGCTGTTCTCGGCAAGGCAGCCGGGCCCTTTTGGGCGGCCGTACAGTAGCAAACGCGGGCGAGGGGTACGAGCTTTGGGGATGTGCTGCAGCCAGCCACAGCCTTGCCAGTACATTTTCTCCTTCTGTATACGTGTAACTGCACTTCCGATAAAGGCTCTGGATAAAAACCACTTGACAAGAGGAAAACTTGGAAAAATAACACCTGCAAGCTAGAGGAAAAAGCTTTGAAGTCCTAAAAGCAAATGTTACGCTCATGAGGAACAAACTTATTTTGGTTTCTAAAATGTAATGTAAGGACTGTCCTGTCAGCACAGGCAAACTAGGAGAGGATTTGGTGCCGGGGAGAGTGTGTCTTGGTTTTCGTCGGGTTTGCTGTTCGGGGGGGGTTTTTGAGCTGGTCGATGAGTTTGACAGTTGACTCTCTCTTGGTTGATCAGTTCCCAGGATATCTCTACTCTGTTGGATTTCTAACCAGCGTGAAAAATGGACCTCTCTGACTTTGTTTTGGGCTAGAGAATATTGTTGGTACCAGAGGGCAGTGCTGCTGTTAGTTCTGTAGCCCAGCTTATTGCGTTACTTCAGAGAATCTTGTCCAGCTTTCTGAGTTGCTCAACTAACAAGCATGGTGTGGTGCAGTCCTTGTTTCACAGCGAATGTCTACGCGGAGGCAAGGCCACAAAGACCTCGGGAGGGATGTGAGATAAATACCCGCCAGTTCCCGGCTGACTCTGGCTGATCTTTGATTCCGCACAGTGAGAAGAGGAGACGTGTTGGCAGCATGGAGTGGCATTCGTCCGCTGGTCACAGACCCCAACTCCAAAGACACGCAGTCGATATCCCGGAATCATGTTGTTACTGTTAGTGATAGCGGCCTTGTCACCATAGCAGGTACTGGAAGTTCTCTTAAAGTATGGCTTTGTTGTTCTGCCCCAGTGTTTTCTGTTCAAAACTTTTGTTGTTACAGGATAATCCTTCATGTTCCTGTGGCTAGGTAATGATCTGTGAGTGGTAGCACTGGCTTGTTGGAGCAAGTCTAGTAAGAATAATCTGTTATATAGAAGATATATAGTGCATACCAACTTCGTATTCTGCTTGCTTTCCCTAAATAAAGAAGTGAACGTGTGGTTACAGGTGGGAAGTGGACAACCTACCGGGCCATGGCGCAGGACACCATTGATGCGGCTATTCAGGCGCACGATCTGAAGGCAGGTTCCAGTAAGACCATCGGACTGCAGCTGCAAGGGGCTGAGGACTGGAGTCCCACGCTCTACATTAGGCTGGTCCAGGACTATGGACTTGAAAGCGAGGTGAGTTGTGGTTTCTGTTGATGCTGTGATGTTTCTGTGTTGGAGGGGTTTGTTTTCCCAGTGTAAATTGTACAAAGGTCTGTTGAGCCTGACAGAAGCTTATTGTCTGGCCGGGGCAACGGTAGCTCTAGCAAAAATAAAGTCTAGTAATTGTTCTTCTCTTCTTCCCTTTTTCCTTCCCGCTTATCTGGACTGTTTCCTGCTTCAACATGTTAGGACATGCTAGGGTCTGTCTTCCTCTGAGCCCAACGGGATCTGTACTTCAGATGTGCTTGCAGTGTCGCAGAAGAGTTGGAGCGTCACTAGGCGCAGTTCGGTTGATACATACATAGTGCTGTCAGTGCTGGTCTAACCCATCCACAGTGCAAGTCATTTCCCCCCCCACAATCAAAATCTAAGACCCTCTTCAGCCTATTTGTTATGGGTGATAAGAGAATTGACAAGAAAAACGTGTATATATTTGATGCGCTTTCAGAAGCGTACTGAATTGGTTTTCAACTCCACAGGTGGCTCAGCATCTAGCTTCGACGTATGGTGACAAGGCTTTTGAGGTGGCCAAAATAGCCCAAGTTACAGGAAAGAGGTGGCCTATTGTTGGAAAGCGCCTTGTGTCTGAATTTCCTTATATTGAAGCTGAGGTATGTGGAAAAACTACATAATGTTCTTCGATTGCCTTCTTGGGATAAGCAGGTTCTAGAGCAGGTGGGTCTCGCTCTGTAAAACATCTCCATAAGCCCTTTCCTTTGGTGAGGTCCAAATTCTTTTCTGTTCTTGTTCTTCCCCTTCCCCGGAGCATGCTTTATTTTTATGTTTGTATGCTTATATATATGCATATTTTTTAATATATATATAATTAATTAAATATTAATAATTATATAATGTCTGGTTTTTTATTTCATATTTACACGTTTGATCTCAGATGCATTTTATAAAACGTTCCAAGGAAGAGGGAGCTTTTCAAACCCTTCACTTGGTTGGGTGGGAACTAGTTACAGAAAGTTCGTTTTAGATAACCAGCCCAGCAGTGCGGTTTGTGATGCTAAACAGAATTTCCAGCAATGCTTGCCTACTTCCTCATCTGCATTTTTCCCCTTGTCTCATTGTTCTAGGTTGTCTATGGCGTTAAAGAGTATGCCCGCACGGCAGTGGATATGATTTCCCGACGCACCCGCCTGGCATTTCTGAATGTGCAGGCTGCAGAGGAAGCCCTGCCAAGAATCGTAGATATAATGGGGAAAGAGCTTAACTGGAGCGAGCAGAAAAAAACGGTACAAAGGGCCTTTTTCATCTGAAACTGTTTTGGTTTTCTTAAGTAGTTTCCATGTTAACGATCTAAATTAATTGAATAGGAAACTTCAAGTGATGCTTTCTTCCTGAGAGAATGATTCACTTGGCGTATTTCGTTAGAAAGACTTTATCAAAATAGCTGTGAGAGGAGCTGGTATGGGCCACGGGGTGGAGGGGGGAGTGAAGAGCTGTATGCTGTTGTTTCCCGACTTTACAGATGAAAGCAAACGTTACTATCCTATTTCTGTTGAAGTATTTAGTCTGTGGACACTTGTCAACAGATCTGCCTCAGAAAAGAAGGATCTTGTAGACTGTGCCACTCCTTTTTGTCTGTTGTATCTTTTGAAAAGTGGTGATACTGAGCTTGCACCATTCTCTGGCCCAAATTAGTTTGTAAGGTCATCGTTAGCTTCCTTTGCCCCCAGTGGGTCTCGTGGTGTTGGCAGTAGTCTCTGCCTAAGCTACTGGCTGTGTGCCTGCTCTGTAGTGAGCACACTTCAGTCGGGTGACTGCCCCTCATGAAGACATCTGCTGTGCGTGCACAGAGTTGCACCCTACAGCCCTGTTTCGATCTCCATGAACTGCCAGGAGTGCTTTGGGTACCCAGCTTAGATGTAGACG